GACTCCTTGATGGTGGGCATGAGCGGCTTGAGGAACTGGTGCGGCAGGCAGAAGCAGACCATCGTCGCGCCCTTGACCGCCTCGGCCAGGTCGGGCACCGCCTTCACGTTCGGCGTGAACTTGGCCCCCTTGAGGTACTTGACGTTCTCGTTGGTCTCGTTAATAATCTCGGTGAGCGGCTTGCCATCAATCATCTCCTCGTACACGTACAGCTTGACCTGCGGCGCAGGGAGAGGCGGACCGACGCCTCGGCTACCGCGGCCGCGCACAGAGCGAGCGGCGCGGCGCGGCGGCTGCGTCGCGGGGGGCGTGGTTGGGCGCCTCATTGTCAAAGATGTCGTGGCGCAGTGCGTTCTGGCCGAGGATGCGCACGAGCGCGGAGCCGAAGTTGCCGCTGCCGACCATCGCCAGCTTCTCGCTGCCTGCCGCGCCGCTCAACAGGCGCGAGCCGGGCCGCGCCAGGCCCTTGGAGACGCGGGAGAGCATCGTGCAGGCTGTCGAAGTAACAGGGTGAAGAAGCTGGAAGAATTTTGTGGAGCACGGCGGGCGCGCCGGTGCCGCATTAGTGTGCGTAGTAGGACTACAGCCCACCACAGACACCCTCCCCCACTCCTCACGTGTGTTCACACCCTCACCCTCTCCTCTCTCCTCTCTCTCTCTCTCTCTCTCCTCTCTCTCCTCTTGTCTGTGCTGTCTGCCTGACTCAGGCACTCAATCTGCCGATGCGTGATTGTGTGTGGGCTGCTCCGAGGGGGCCCTCTGTGCGATCCGACGGGTAGGGGGGCTGTGCCCGGGCGGTGTCCGGTGTGGAGTCCCCTTCTGATCCCGCCTGGGATGTTGGGTGTGAGGTTGTGGCGGCTTCGATCCCAAGGGGGGGAGCTGATCCCACTCAATAACCAACTCTCAGGGGCAGTAGGTGGGCGAGCTTCAGGCACGCTCATCTCGATCGTCAAGACGTTGCTACGCGCGGTCTTCCGCGGGGGGAGCTGCGTCGACGGGTGCGGGACCGCGGCGCAGCCAGTGCCGCGGCGAGGCCTCCGGCTGTTTGCGGCGGGCGGCTTGCTGCTCGCTGCGATGGCGAAAAACTCGTCTCGCCACACGCCAAGGGCTTATGCTCTGGCGAGACGTGAGGCGCATGCGCCCAGGAGGGGAGGGGGCATGTGTAACGACACTGCTAGAGATGCCTTTCGGGGCCCAGAGATAAAACTTCTGTGATGCCATGCGTGACCTAGTAGTGTCCCCAGCTATGGGCGTGTCCACGTTGGAGCCAGGTGTGGTGTGGGCGCGAGAATAGCTCCGCCGTTCATGGAGGCAACCGATGCGAGTCGACTGGTGTGTGTCGTCGTGGTTTCGTATCAAGAATTCTCTCTCTCTCTCTGTGAGTGTGTGCCTGACTCACGGTATACGCGCGCGCGGCGGCATGGCAGCCGGCACGGCACACGACTCACGAGGCCACATCCCGGGGCGCGCGCCGAACTCTCCTCGTACTCGAGTCTCTAGCTCTCTCTCTACTCGATCGAGTAAGTAGCTTCTATCTCACCCTATCGTGATGTGTTTCTTTCCCGTGGAGCGAGTTCGACGCGGCGATGGAGGTGGACCAAGGCTGAGTGTGCGGCAGCGTGTGTGCTGCGAGCGGGCGAGGGAGGGGGTGCGAGGACGCGTGCGTGGGTGGGGGAGCGTGGGCTAGCGGCGAGAGGGAGAGAGAGTGCGCTGCTACAGGACCAAATCGAGCTAGAGGTGTGTGCATGGAGCATGTCAAGCGGCCAAAGGATATCCACCTCGAGAACCTCGAGACCTCGAGAACCGTGACACGATCGTCCGCGTCCAGATTTCGGACGTCCCAGAACGGCTGCAACTAACTGATCCATGATGACGGAGGTGCACGCGCGACGCGACACCGCGAGCGACGTGCGCACGTACAACTTCACCTCCGTCCTCGACTCGCCTCCTTTCACCACGTATGAGATCGCCATCCTCCTGCCGCTCCGCTGCACCGAGGAGTTCCCGGTCGACGTCTGGGTCGACAGCGTGAACGCCAGCTTCGCGACTCTGAACGCGAAGCTCTTCATCGGGGTAGACGAGGACGACGCGGGATGGGCGGCGTGCGAACGCGCGCTCAACTCGAAGCTCACGTTGGCCGTGCCGTACGAGGTGAAGATGTTCCCGCCCGCAAAGCCCGCGATCATCTGCCCCATCTGGGCGAGCCTCGCCCTCAAGGCCTACCGCTTGGGCTGCTCCTATTTTGTCCTGTGGGGCGATGACGTCCGCGTCGACCCGGCCGACTGGTTCACCCAAATGGTCCAGCCGACGCTCGGGCCGGCTGACCTTGGCTGCGTCGCGCCGATCGACGTCAACGATCCCAGCGTCACCACGTTCCCAATCGTCACCCGCGCGCACTTTGACGTCTTCGGCCGTCTCTTCTCGCCGCGCTTCATCAATCAGGATGCTGACCCGTACCTCTTCGAGCTCTATCGCCGTGTCGGCCGCGCGAGCGTCCTCACCGACGCGCGGGTGACCAATCTCCGAGGTGGCGCCGCCGCGTGGCCGGTGCAAGACGCCAATCCTCGCTACGAGCGCCAGCCTCTCGCGAGCTGGAAGCAGGAGTGCCTCGCGCCAGACGCGCAGCAGCTCATCAAGGTCATCGGCTCGCCCGCGGCTCCTTTCGTGACGATCGACGTGGTGGTGCCGAGCTTCCGCACACCATGCGAGCTGCTGTGGCGCATGACGAGCCTACACGACCCGCCGGGCTGCTCAGTCAAGTACATCATCGTCGTGGACAACCCCTCCGCGCCCAACCTGAACGAGATCCTCAAGCTTCAGAGCGAACGAGTCCGTGTCCGTGTCAACCCCGAGAACGTCGGTGCGTCCTCCTCGCGCTCGCGCGGCCTCGCCGAGGCGTGCGCGGAGTGGGTGCTCTTCTTCGATGACGACGTCGAGGTCACGCAAGCCTGCCTCAACGCGTACGCCCTCGCGGCCGCCGACCGCGGCGCAAAGTACTCGGGGTTTGTCGGCTCGACGATCCTGCCGCCGGTGGCCAACCTCCTTCACGAGGCGACTCGGCTGAGTGACATCACGTTCTTCTACAACCTGCCCAAGTGGATGGGCGAGACTGTCCCGTGGGGCGTGACAGCGAATATCATGGTGCGCCGCGTCGATGACCTTGAGTTCGACACCGTGTATGCCAAGACGGGCGGAGGTGAGGACGTCGACTACTGCGTCGAGCTCGTGCACGCGCTCAAGCTGCCCCTCGGCCGCGTCGTCGAGGCGAAGGTGATCCACGATTGGTGGCCGTGCACCGACGGCCGCGCGCTCGCCTACCTGCACCGCTTCTGGAAGTGGACGATGGGTGATGGCTATCTGCTGTACAAGCACCCGCAGTATGTCTACATCTCCTTCCCGAACGTCGTCGAGCTCAGCCTCGCCCTCGTGCTCACCGCGGGCTGGCTCGTGCCGTGCATCCTCGTGCTCCGTCTCCTCGGCGCGATCTGGATTATCGAGGTCGGCTGTGAGACGATCCGCGCGCTGCAGGGGCCCGAGGCGCGGCACCTAAAGGCGACGGACCGGCTCATCGCGGCGTTCCTGTCGTTCCTCGTCAAGAACGTCGTCGACGCGGGCCACCTCACCTTCCACCTCATCCACATGCGACCGGCCTTTGTGCTCCACCGCTTCGACTTCTTCCTTGGCCGCCACGGCCTTCCCGCCATCGAGCGGCGCAAGTTCGCCCAGCGCAACGCGCTGTGGATCGCCGCCATGGCCCTCACGATGCGCTCGTGATGTGCGCGACGTGATGACAAGAGTGTATAGACGATTGCACACGACCCACAAGCACTGTGAAGTTGTGAAGTTGTATGCGTCGCTCGACAGCACACGCATGTTGTTGCCACTTCATACAGTGCTGCGAGCTGGCCTATGGCCGGACCTTACGACGGTCCAGCGCTGGGCAGCGTGATGGCTCCTACTCGAGGCGCGACATGAGTGTACGAGGACCTCAACGCCTCGGTTTGGCGAAAACCAGCATGAGGAGCGGAGCCGCTGTAGCTCCTCCCAGCAGGTTGCGCGTCTCGGTTTGGCCGACGTCCCATCCACAGCGCATACTACGGCAGCTCCCCAGCTCAAGAAGGCTGCACTCGACCACATCGCCCGAGTCAAGAAATTGTTCGGCAGTTTGTTCGGCACTCTAGATGGCCTAAACATGCTTGCGTTCAAGTCTCGAGGTCTGCGCTTAAACTTGAAAATTTAATAAAATTCCTTCTAAAATCCGCTCCGACCGGCCTATTAGCGAGTTTTAGTAATACTATTACGACGCGCTATCCCCCCTTGCCCCTAGCCCTCTTGCTGTTTTTCTTTTTGGAGCTTTGGACGCGTCTCGACCCTCCGTCCAACATTCGCATCCCCTCTTTTACATACATAAAAAACATGTCGATGTCCCCCGGAGGATGATCCATAAGTGCATGTATGTGCAGCGCCACACAGTCCTCCTCGCCGGCCCCGCCTGCAACGCCCGCCCGGCCGCGCATGCGTCAGATTGGGCGGCGACAAGTCGGGCAATGCGGCCCGCGATCCTTCTCTGGATCTTGCTGCTGCAAACGCACACACTGCGCGCGCCACAGCGACGCGCAGCCGGCGTGCAGGGGGTGGCCGTGGCCACACACGTCCTCGAGGGGCTCGTCGGCGGTGGCCACCATGAAGCAGATGCTGCACTCGCCTTCTGGCTCCTCCGCCGCCACGTGCGCAGCGGCCATGGCCGCGCTGATCACCTCCTCCTCGCCCGCCTCGGGTGTCGCCGCCGCCGGAGCCGGAGCCGGAGCCGGAGCCGAAGCGCGCGCAGCGTCCCTCGCACGTCGCCGCCGCTCCTTGCGCGCGCGCCGCCGCTCGGCTTCGAGCTCCGCGCGCCGCGCGCGGTGCTGCTGCGCCTCGATGGCGCGCCCGCTCTCCGCCTCCCTCCCGCCCAGCTCCTCCGCAACTCGAGCCGACTCCAACGGGTCGAACCGCTCGCCGTGGCGCTCGAGCAGCACGTGCGCGTCGGTCGCGTCCTCGAGCACCTCCTCGTGGCGCCGCAGCAGAAGCAGCGCCTGCGAGCGGCTGCTCTTCGCGAGCACGAGCGCCCACGCCGCGCGCGCGTCGGCCTCCATGCCGGCAAGCTCCGCCACCGCCATGCTGTATGCGCCGAGCGCCTCCTCGAGCCGATCGGAGCCGATCGCCGCGTCGCCGCGCGTGCGATGCGCCTCGGCGCTCCGGATCGCCTCCGCGGCGCCGCCTTCCTCCCGTATCCGCTCGCGCTGACGGCGCACGGCCTCGCGGGTGCGCTGCATGCTGTCGGCGTACTGCATGAGCCGGCGCTGCTGCTCGGTCTCCGTCTCGATCGGCGGTGGGCGCGGGTCCATCGGCGGCGTGCCGTGTGGCGTGAATGCGAGGAGACGCGAGACGTAGACCTGCATGTAGCGGCTGCGCACCTGGTGCGACACAAAGCCCTCCAGAAAGTCCGCGTACTCGCTGAGCGCCTCGTCGAAGCGGTTGGTCACGTCGCCCTCGTACTCTGGAATTCGCACCTGCGGGGACATCGGTAAGAGGGAGGGTCAGTCGGCAGCCGCGGGCGATCGGTCGGTGGTGGCAGTCGTGAACTACAGCCGTGTGGGTTGGTGTGCACCGCACGCAGATCAAAGTGGAGCGAGATCGTGTAGAGGCCTTCCAGCGCTAGGTTGATGGGGCCCAAATGCTTCAGAACGTCTCGACCGTTTCGCCCGCCGCGCCGCGCCTCGTGCGTGTGCTGAAACAGGATTATTGCGAGCGAGGTGGGTACGGCGTGGTTGAAACCGCGTGCGCTCAGCGTGGCGACGAGATCCGCGAGCGCCGGACCGCCGCCCGCAATCTGGGTCACGACGCAGCAGACGACGTCGAGGTACGCAAAATCGAGAGCATTCTGCCGCAGCCAGCCGACAAACATGCGGCCGCAAACGGCGACTACTGGCCGCAGCAGCTCCACTCCGAGCGCCGCGGCGAAGTCGCAGGGTGGCGCGTTGCGCAAGATCGCCCAGAGGGCACGCAGCGCGTTGTGTGGGACGGACGAGCCGGGGCCTGCGGCGGCAACGAACTGGCAGACTAGCCCGGCCACGCTGCTCTGCAGCGCCGCCGTGGCCACCGCGGGACTCTGCAGGCTCGCCACCGCCTCGAGTCCGAGGAGGACCTCATCGGCCTCCGCGCCCTCCTCTGCCAGCTGCGACTGCTGCAGCCGGTCGAGACCGCGCGCGCAGATCGCCTCGACGCGCTGCATTCCGCCCGCGTCCACGAAGGTGTTCCCGGCCACGGCCATCGCCTGCATGCTCGCGAAGTGATGCTCCCGAACAGCAGCGCGCCCGGCCTCGCCGCGAGCCGGCACGTTCGCCACGAGCTGCTCGCCCGTGCGGCGAAGCGTCATTATTCGAGCCAGCAGGGGCGTCGGGGCGTCAAGCAGCTGGAGCGCGAGCCGACCGGCGCGCTCGCCCGCCGGGCGCGCCTCCGTCGAGCGCGCCGATGGCGGCGGCGCAGCCGCCGGGCCCGCTGCCGGCCTGTCAAAGACTGCATCCATTTCGCTCCGCCTGAGCTCAGCATGCTGCTGCTTGACGCCGATCCCACGCGCGCGCATGATGCGGAGGCAGTCGCAGGTGCTGAAGCGCGAGAGGACCTCGAACAGGCCGTCCGCGCTCGTGCACTTGCCAAGGCTTTCCTCCAACTCACGCACAGCGGGCGAGGCCTGCCCCAACGACAGGTGCGCCGGCCGCACCCGCACAGCCTGGGAGCCGGCGCCCTCGAGTGCAACCACGTAGCGGTCGCCCTCAAAGCTCTGCGCCACGCCTCGCCGCCCGTTTAGCTCAGGGCGGGCCGCGAGCCCGCCGAGCACAACACGCTGGCCGAGGAGTGGCGCGCCGGCAGACGAGGAGACGTCGGCAGCGCCCGGCGGGCGGCGACCCACTTGGACTTGCCGTTCGACTTCGCGGAAAAGCGCACTGACGCCCATCTCCCGGGCGGCATCGAGGACGAGGGCGGAGACCGCGAAGCCACGGCAGTTTTTGAAGTCTGCCTCGGCGAAGGCATCCACGCCAAATGAGGCGAGCAACACCGCTGGAGGTCGATTGCGGCGAACGATCGGCTCGAGGAGGCGGACGTGCGCGAGGCAGGGCGCGTTGATGTGCGCGGTCGATGTTAGAAAGGAGCCCATCACATCCATGAAAGTTGGACCTGGGGACGGCCCGCCGTGCCGGCAGTCTTCCCAAGGCGGCTTATCCTCGCGCCTGAGGCACCTCCGCTTGAGGGAGGAGCTCGTCGTTGAACCGGATGCGGCACCGTTCGCCAACGGACACGACTTCAACGCGCTGGCCGTTCAGTTCTGGCCGCGAGCGGACGCTGTCGGGGAGGACGCAGGCGCCGCAGCCGACGCTAAGCGCGGGCATGGCAGGCAGGCAGGCAGGCGGCAGGCAGGCAGGCAGGCAGGCACGAGGCAGCAGAGGCAGCTCGTGTTCTCGACCGCCCTCGGGGGGCCGCATGCAAGCTCATTCACTCTGCTCTGCGATGTTCAGTGACCCAGCCAGCTCCTGGTGGTCGGCCGGCCGATGTGGGTTGTCGTCTCTTGCAGCGCAACTTGCACTTGAAAAAATCTCCCTGAATGCCTGCATGGCTCACAGGACCTCAGGGGAGAGACTCTCAGGGGTCAGGGCCGACCAGCTCACAAACGCGCGCGGTGCTTGCACATACCTCCCACCCACCCAAACCTCCCGCAACGGTACTCGTACACTCACACAACAAACGGACGTCAACGTCAGACGGCGCCCTCTGTGCCCGGGTCTTGCAGCACCATCAGCGTGAAGTCCTGCGGGGCGGGCCAAGCGTGTGAGGTCCTACTGCAGGAGCATGCTGGGTTTGTCGGCGCTGCAGCCGGGCGCACCTTGTCGGGCGCAATCATGATCTCGCCCTTCTTGGTGCGCACTCGCAAGAAGGTCAGGTCGTTGGTCGGGTCCAGATCCCGCACCTTTGCGGGCGTGGGGGCTCGCTCGGGAAAGGCGGAGGCGAGCCGCATTCACTGGGCGCGGCTCACGATGGATCTGGACTTGGACGAGAGCGAGGAGAGGAGAGCGGCGTACTGCGGAGGGCGAGGAGGGCGGGAGCAGTGAGGCGTCGCCGGCCGCCAAGTCACCACTGATTGACTCCCTGTAGCACATGCGAGCGGCGGCGCGAGAAGTGCAGCGCGGCCAACGCGGGGGGGAGGAGCCTCGCCTGCGTGGTGACCTTCGGCTCAAAGGTGGATCGGATGGCGATGCCCTCCGGATTCCAGATGATGACGCCCTGCACGCCCTTGTGCGACTGGATGCGCTTGAGCGTCTCCTCGACGTCCGACATAGACGAAAGACGAGGTGAAACGTCGGGCCGAAGCCACAACCGTCGGCGGGTGAGTTTGTTTTTCAATGTATGTAATTCCCGGAGGAGGACTGCTGACAGGGTTTGTGATTTTTTAGTTCTTCCCGGGTACAGGATCGCGATGAATTTGTACTGCTGTCGGGCTAGATCCTACCTGATTCTGCCTCGTAATCGACGTTGCGGTGGGCAAAGACCAAAGTCATTTCGCGCCCGACACGCGCAGTACGTGCGCCGTGGCGCGATCCATTTTGCCTGCGAGGCGGACGTGCGCGTCAGCGAGGGATATGCGCCCCTCAGATGTCAGATTCTTGGGGCAGCTCGCCTGCAAAGTCGGTCGAGTTGTCGACAACCTGAAAGTTGGGGTGGAGAGCGTACGCCTCTTTGATGGCAGCATCGAGCGCCTTGGCCTCCTTCGCCGAGTGGTGCCTCCCATCCGTCTTGTAGTGGGACTCGGCACCGTCTGCCGCGGTGACGAGGTGGAGTACTAGGTCGTAGCGGTGGCAGAGCTGCTCCTCGCTAAGACCATTCTCAAAGAGGACCTTTCGCCAAATGACGCGGGGCACGTATGCAGCAACGTCGAGGATGCCGCGGTCGAAGACGACGACGGAAGGCCTCCCTGTTTACACACACGCGCGTTCCTCAGTGGGCGGCATGCGCGAGGAACGGACGCGCTCGGCAAAGGGCATTGCCCGTCGACGCTGCCACCTTGACGAAGGAGCGCTCCAGCTGCCGTTGCGCCTGCACCAGCGCAGTCTCGAAGGCGACCAGCTTCTGCCCGCCCTGCTGGCCAGGAAACTGGCAGCCTCCGTTGAGCACTATTGGGAAATGTGGGCACTCACGGATGTGACTCGGGCCTCACCGGCCCTTAGAGCGAGCCGCACTTATCGTCGGGACCTCTGGCACCGTCAAGACATCAAACCCCGCAGCCGTGAGAGCGCCCGTAAAATGCTTTAAGCTGGAGTGCTTCCCCCCGCATGGACCGCCTGAACAAGGACATCCGTGTCAAGCGGCAGAGTGGACTGGCGAGGCTCGAGGCACCGGCACCAGTCAGCACGATCCGCGTTACGTAGTGCGACCCTGACGCGGTCCGCTTGTCGTAATCAGCCATGGGCTCGGCAGCCTGGCCCTGAACAGCGAGTGTTTCATCATAGGCGTGCCCCTCTGCGACGCGGTCGTCCTCTGCGTCCACGCTCGCTCGCAACACCTCATAGGCGCTCACTTGATGGACAGGCGGAGGCGGCGACCCGCGTGCCAAGCGATACAAAGCGAGGCCGGCGACCAGCCCGGCAGCAGCTGCGGCAAGGTGGGTGTCCACGGGCGATGGCATATGTTCATTGGCTGTGCCGACGCGTGATGGGCGGGCGATCGGAGGACGGACGAGTTGTCCCGGCAGCCCGGGTGTGAAGGGCCGGCGTGAGGCCTAGATTAGCACACGCACCTCGACTCGCGAAAAAAGGTCTGGTGCTAGATTCATCATTTGCACTGCCATCAACCATGAATGCGAGTGCGGGCTGGCGGCTAGCTAGCAATAGTCGCTGGCCTGTGAGGAGAGCGTCCATAGACACCTCACCCGACCCCACACATATGCTCTTGTCCGTGCCTCACGGCCGGCGAGGTTGCTAGAGGCGGAGCAGCCTGCTCTAGCTCACGCGCCGCGCCCTGAGTGTCGCCTTGTTTGTGTTGTTTAGTTGTGCTGTCGTTTGTGTGCCCTTCGGAACGGCCTTCACGCCTTTTGCCGCAAATCCGTTTGAATGCGCTAAGCATGAATCTCATCCGAATTTCGTTCTGGCAGATGTTCTCTCAGTGTCGATACCGGTCAGTAGGGCTCTTACACTTTTTGACTCTCTTGGGCTAGTTCCATTTCACTGTGGCACAGCTCGCGTTACAAAACCTTGATTTGACCATTTGCGCAAAAAGGTACATCTCGGTGCCTTCCAGAGGCAGCTGCGACCCCGCCGAGTGGACGGCGGCACACAGCAGGTGCCTGCCTCTGTGCGTCCTGGGGAGGGACAAAATTGTCGCCGCCGGAGACGACTCGACGTCGCTGAGATCGGAGATCAAGCTCTGACAGGTCGCACGTCGCTCCTTTGACGCCGACGTGACTCACCCGTGCAGATCACATCAGGACACGGTCTCGACACGCTCGGTACGACGCCTGCGACCCGTCTTGGGTCAGGTGGCACGACGCTCATCGCGCCTGCCAGCGCTGCCGTGCAGGTTGCCACGACGAGGTCGAGCACGCTTCTATACGCTCGCCGAGCCTTCCTTTCCATCCCATTAGGCAGCCTGGGAACGGTGGCGGTCAGAGGCAAAGCCTGCGAGGGGTGGTGGAACCACATGTCACGGCTACTGCCGGCTCGACCCCACGATAGCCTCCGAAGGCTGACTTTGAGGCACAATCATCGGACGACGTCGGCGAGTTGAGTCGCGCTCGCGGTAGCCAGATGACCTCTCATACTAGTATCATCGGCCATGGCCGCAGGAAGCGCGGGGGATTCCGCTGGGAGCAACACGGAGCTCCGTTGGACGCGTTTTCAAGATTAGCGTGTCAGAGTGAAATGGAACTAGCCTTGTGTAAACATAACAAGTGCGCTCCAGGTCGAGACTCGAGTGCTAAACCACCGTACTCACATTTTCAGCGACCCCTTCTCTGTCAACCATCTCCAAACCCCCCTCTCCGGATGCCGCGGTGATGGAGACGAGGCTCGCCTGCGCCGTGGCGCGGTTCGAGGACGGCTCGGCGCAGGAGCGGCCGGAGCGGTTGGTGTAGCTGACGTAGCGATGCGAGCTGCCGTGCAGGAGCGAGCGCACGATCCGGTTGAAGGGCGCAGCGTCGCCAAAGGCAGACTCGAGCGCCGCCAGCATGCGTGTGCGGTCGCCCGGAAGGGAGCAGTCGGCTTGGCTGAGCCGGAATTTGGCAAAGCCCCGCTTCAGCGACGCCTCGCCCTTCCCCTTGCCGAGCGCGTCGCTCTTGCATCTGCTCTCGTGCTCTCTCCGATCGGGGAGGAGGGACCGCACGGACCTCCACCGCTCCCTGCCGCCCAACTGCTCGGCCGCGGCGACGGGCTCCTGCTGGCAAGGATCTGGTCCTTCTCGCGGAGGCTCGCGTGTGCTCCCGACGCTGTAGCAGCTGCCGACGCTCGTGCCGCTCGAGCTCGGGAGCAGCAGCACGTGGATGTCGTCAGGCTTGCCGCCCATCGCGAGGAAGCAGAAGACCTCCATCACACACCTTGGTGAGGCACGGAGAAGGTGAGGCAAGCTCGACGCCTCCTCTCTCGCCAGTGCGGACAGTAGGGGCGGGCGCCACAGCCGGCCGCAGTAGGACGGGCCGTAGAGGACGAGCAGCGAGCTGCGACGGGGGAGGGCCGTGCGGTGGGTGCGAGGCGGCGGGCAGGTGCGAGGCGGGGAGAAGTGTGGGATTGAGCGGGCGTGTGGCACCGGCATCCGGAGAGGAAGATTGGCAGCCCGAGGAGGCTTGCCGCGATGTCGTCATCCTGCCGAATGCAGCAGCGGTCCAGCCACAGCAGCGGCGGCCGCCCGTACGCCGCCTCGAACGCGTCGGCCCAGCCGCACAGCGCCTCGTACTTTTCTCGCCCGTCGTCGGACCAGGAGTGCGAGAGGAATGCGTCCACCTCGCCCAGCGCCGCTGGCACCGTGTGGTCCTCCTGCCGTCGCGCCTCGAGCTCACCGTCCCACTCCGCCGCCAAGTCGCCGGCCGTGAGGCTCGTCCACGGCACGCCGCGGAAGGAGGAGATCGCGTCGCGGCACCGGCGCTCGATCACCGACGTCGCGGCGCCGCTCCCGATCAGAGAGGCGACGGCGGCGAGGGAGCGGGACGTCTCGGGCTTCCCGTTCCACCCGAGCCCAAGCGAGCGGTGTATGCGTCCGCGCACGCGCTCGGTGAAGAAGAGCGTGAAGAGCAGCGTCCCGAAGCCGTCGCAGTAGCACGAGAGGGCGAGGTAGGGCGAGACTGGCCGCCCGACGGCGAGAAGCACGAGATACTGCGTGCCCCACGAGGCGGCGCCTGTGAGACAGGGCCAGGAGGCGTCAGCGACATGTCGTGGCCCGCTGCGTGCCCCACGAGGCGGCGCCGAGGGCGTAGCTCGTGCGCAACACCACCCACTGCCGGCGCAGCGCGTCGCGGGTCGCGCGGGAGAGAGACGCGGCGAAGAAGCCGATCGCCGAGCCGAGCGAGGCGAAGAAGATGCCGAAGAGCTGCAGCGAGAGCAGCACCGTCTCGAGCGGCGCCCAGCCCGACGCGGCGGCGGCGGGCCAGTCGCTCTCGATGCAGTCGAGGATATCGATGATGAACTGCGCGGGAGGGGTGGGGAGGTGCGGTGGCGTGCTTGCGGCGTGAGACGCGAAAGTGGGTTGGGCCCGAGAGGACGGTCATATGCGTGTGGTGCGGCCGCACGTAGTACAGGTAGCTGGCGCAGCAGAAGGCGCCGGCGAGCCGCACGCCAATGTGGTCCAGCGGCCGGCACGCGAGGAGGACGAGCGCAGGGCCGAGCGCGGCGGGGATGCCATAGAGCGGCAGCGGGATGCGCGAGAGGGCGTAAAAGTCTGCCTCGCTCACGCCCGTCGCCCAAGAGACTGTCAGCGGTCCCCACGCCACAATCTCGCACGCCCACGCCACTGCCATTGTGCCAAAGGTGACGCGCACTCGGACCTGTGCATCCACGCGACGCGCCTTGGAGAGCCGAGCCAGCAGCTGCCCCTCGTCCGATCGGGTCGTCCGGCGCTGCCCCTCGTCTGCTCGGCTCGTCCGGCGTTGCGGCAACGTGTCTCCCGATCCGCGCCGCCGCCGCCGCTGCGTAATCCACAGGCAGTGGAGGAGGCAGATTTGCAGAGGCAGACCTGCGATCACCACGATCAAGATCATCGATGCAGTGAGGTCGACCTGTGCCGCCGCATCCGCGTCGGTAAGGTTGGCGAGGAGCCACCGCTCAGGGTCGGTGGCGGACATGGCGCTCATACGCCACGGACTTGCGATCGATCTGGCCAGGACCTCAAATTTGGGAGGGCACAGCGCGAGCTGCCAGCGGAAGGCAAGGGCAAGCAAGGTGCCTGGTATTCACAGTTTCCCACCATCCCCAGGGCGTCCAGGGCTCGCACCTCAACCTCTCACAGACCAGCGCACAGCGCCAGAGGACGTATTTTCTTGTCAATAACAAGGCTGTGAACCTGGCGCAGGCTCGGGTCTTGCTCACGCTGCTCCTCCCTGGCTGCGGCAATAAGAGGTAGGTAGGTAGGTAGGTATATAAGAATTTTGCTGAAGAAATACAAAAAGAAAAGTTGGGTCGGACTCGCAGAGGCAGGATGGCGGGGAGCAGGCGCGCGGGCGGTGTGTCTGGCGGGCGGGATCCAAAGAATTTTCCAAACAAGATGTAACGATTTCTGTGGGCGACCAATCGGCACTATGCACATATGTTGCCGCCCATCTCCCCGCCCAGGGGTGGAAGCGCCGCCCAGCCCGTCGCGTCATTCGAATGGACCGCGCACGACGTGGCCGAGTGGGCGCACTCGCTCGGGACGAGCGAGGACTACTCTCCTGCATTCCTCATCCACGCCGTGGATGGCATGGGCGTGCTCTCCCTCGGAAGGGAGGATCTGGCAGACTGGAAGGTGAAGCCGGCCGACCAGACGATCATCCTCCAGGCCCTGCACGAGCTCAGATCCGCCAAAGAGCGCGTCTCTGTGGAGCCCGGCTCGCCCCATCGTAAGGACTCGCCGCGCAAGGCGGCCGCGCCTCAGCAAAGCCTGCCGCCCGCAAAGGCAACCCAGCCTTTGGAAGCCACTTCCCGCTTCCAAGCAGGCACCCCGGACTCGGTTCAGCGGGTGGGATCACACAGCCCACGCACTCCGCGCAGCCCGCGCAGCCCGCGCAGCCCGCGCAGCCCGCGCAGCCCGCGCAAGCAAAAGACGTACCTCAACGGCGTCATGGGGGATTTGCACGGCGGGGGCGCAGTGCCGACCTGGAAGGAGGAGGTGCTGAAGCGGGCGCAGCGGCGCACCACCTCTGAATCTCCGCGGGCTGCGAGGGCCGGGCAGGCATGCGCGGCTGCGGCGTCCGAAGAGTCCGCCTTCCTGGCGACCGCCCGCTCGACGACCTCGGAGCGCACCGCACTCTCTCAGACCCAGACCTCGCTCGCTGCGACGGCGACCGCAAGCGGCAAGGCGGCCGATCTCGAGCGTCAGCTCTTCTCGTATCGCGACGCTCTCAGCGAGCAGCAGCTGCAGGCCCAGATGCTCGAGCACCGCGAAACGCAGCTCTCGGAGCAACAAGCGCGCAGCCTCGAGAGCTGCGCCGACAGTGACGGCATCATCAGCAGCGCGCGGCGCGAGCACCGGCTAAACAAGGAGCTCAACCGGCTCTCCCGGGTGGTGGAGGTGGCCATGTCGCGCGTGTCCGACGCCGAGAGACTCAACCGTGGGCTGGCAAGCATGATTGATACGTTGCGGAAGGCGCGTTCCGACTTTTTGCGTCAGATGTCGCGCCTCGCGGAGCGAGAGCGAGCAATGGCGGCAGACATGAAGCAGCTCGTGGCGCTCGCAAACTGCTCCCTCGACGAGAAGGAGAAGGTGGAGGCGCGGCTCAAGCGAACCGGCTTCGAACACCGTCAAGAGTCGGCCGACAAGGAGAATAAGCTCGCCAAGCTCGAGCTCGACATCCGCGGACTAGAGGCTGCCCTGCGGAGTGCGCACGACGCGGAGGACTCGGCAGAGCAGCTGGGGAAGCAGATGACCTATCGCGCGCTGCGGCAGAAGCGCCACGTGAGCCAGTCGCTGGACCTGCGGATGGGCCATTTGCAGAACCAGGTCCACGCCATGGAAGCGGAGTTTCAGCGCGTGCAGCGGACGCTCGGACTCGATCCCGCTGGACCTGCGGCTGGGCCGTGCAGGCACGCGGTGGGCGAGATCTTGCGGGTGGTTCGGGAGACAGAGAGCCGCCACGCTTCAGCTCTCAACTTCCTCGAGCGGCAGAGTCGGCAGAGGCTGAGCCTCGAGACGGAGATCGTCCAGTGCGAGACGCGGGCGGCGGAGCTCGCGCAGCAGCAGCGGGAGCACGACCTAGCGGCTTCTCAGTCGCAGGAGCGGACGAACCGCCAGACGCAGCAGGCACGCGCGGCTGAGGTTTCCGTGGAGGCGCAGGCGGCACTCCTGCGGGAGCTGTGCGCTCCTGTGCAAGCTATCTTCGAGCTGGTTGGACGGGAAGCGGCGAGGGGCCCCACCGCTGCCGTTGCCGCCACTGCTGACTCCTGCCGGCCAGACACCCTCTGCGACCACCTCCGGAAAATTGATGAGGCGGCATCCGACCTCTGGGAGGAGGCTAGCGCTCTGGTCGGGCTCGGGACGGCCCAGAACCAGCGTGAAGACGAGGAGGCGCCTGCTGTCGCGCCTCGACCGTCGGTGCTGCAGGGCTTCGTGGCTCCACACCCTCAGGAAGAGGTGCGCGGCGCTGGGTCGGCTCCACGCCGACGCTCGGTATTTGACACGCGCATGGAGCTGGAGCGCTCACGTGAAATTGCCTCGCAGCAAGGTCTGCTGAAGGGCGCGACCGAGAGATCTCTGCTGCCGACGGAGGACGACGAGGAGGAGGAACCTGCTGGCGGAGCGGGCACGTTCTGAGGACTGAGCACACACTTAGAGCCGGCGTAGCGGCCAGCGGCCACACGGGTCACGGCGCGACGGTTTGACGCGCCGCCCCCCCGTGTAAGTGTGTCGTTGTACAGGATATGGAAGTCAATCAATAACCAAAATCACAACAAATATACTCGAACCCTGACTCACCGCGAAAAACGAGAGGGGACGCGCCAACGACCAGCGAGCGCGGCGAGACACAACGGCCGCGCTCGCTCCAGCACGATCTGCTCCTCGCCAACGTCTTACTCACGCGAGGCCAGAGTGGCGCAACAGCGGCTCGGGGCTCGGGTCGCGGCCGCGGAAGGCGCGGAAGACGTCCGATGGGGCGGTGCCTCCGCCGAGCGCGAGCACCGTGTCGCGGAAGCGGCGGCCGACTTCGCGCACCGCTTGCTCGTCGTCGAGGCCGGCCTCCTCGAAGGCGGCGAAAGCGTCGGCGGAGAGCACCTCGGCCCACTTGTACGAGTAGTAGCCCGCGCTGTACCCGCCCGCGAAGATGTGGCCAAACGAGCAGAGGAAGCGGTCGTCGGGCAGCGGCGGCAGGACCGCGTAGCGCTCGGCGAGCTCGTGCTGGAGCTCGAACGGCGTCTGCTCGCCGCGCGGGTCGTACGTGTGGTGGAGGCGCATGTCGAGCGCTCCAAACA